TGAGGGAAAATCTCATTTGTCACAGAGAGGGAAGAGTACAGATGTAGATCTGAATTAGACTCTGAAATGAATGAATGTGTGTAGTTTGCATGCAACAGACAACTTGGTTCCCAACTGAAGAAGGGTGGAAGAAATACCCTGTTTTTTAAGCACAGGGAATACTTTAAATTAGCAGCTCTTTGAGAAGGTATTCCATCTACTTGGAATATTCTCATTTGCCATGAAGGAGTGGGCATTCAGCATTTGTGGTGCCTGCACTCCCTGTCTGGTGCACTAAAACTTGCTGGCAGCCATCCCAGAACCTTTCAAGGAAGAGTACATGGACGTTTGCAGTAATTTATTGGCCACTGTTTGCAAACCCCTGAGAAATTACATTCCTGAGTTAAAATTTTAACTTCTTGCTAGACCATGGTAACTAGTGACCATTAAAAACTATTGTTAAGGACATGGCAAAACTTGCCTGATCTTGGGAACCTGTCTGGCAATGGACAGCAGAAACATTCCATGAAGACTTGTGGTCTCATCTCACTACTCCCCTTCCAGAGAGCAGTGTGGCTCTGCCAGCAAGTGTTTATTTATTTAACTTGTAAAGCTGTCACTGCAGACAGATGTTATTGCAAGAATGTCCCACCTGATTAATTTCTTCTAATAGCCAAAGGCTTCTTGCATACTATTTCCCAAAAAGAAAATGAGCTCAGAAGCATGTGTAATCTTGTTAATTACCAGAATATATCTATCCACATGTGTTCCTGCTTCCTAGGTTTATTTGTGAAAAAAATCTTCCATTTTAAAGATGATCCCTTTCTCTAGCTGCCATCCCCTAGACATTTGGATCTACTTCTATGATGAGAAACAGTGAACTTTTTCTTTCTTCTTTCTTTCTTCATTTGTACACAAGCCATTTCACAGGCAGAGGTCTTGTCTTTTAAAAATTATAAAGCCTTTTTCAATGGGATGTAAAACTTTAGAGTGAACAACAAAAGATAAATGCAAACAAGCATGTGGGAAAAGTTAAATGATGTTTAATTGATGATTGGAACTGTTTACAACAGTATCTCTGAGGAGCTCTTCTAACATTATCAAGCAGATACATTGATGCTTTCAAAAATTTAAATTGTAGGATGAAGAGGTCTTCTTCATGTCTGAATGCGCCTTATGACTCTCTAAAAGAATAGAGACCTATTTGTCTAGAAGTTCAGCTCTAGAGTATGGCTTTTTTCTTTGTTATATTTACCTGTGTTCTTGCTAAGAACAGTATTAAATAACCCAATAGCCAGTGATATCCTTTTAGAGATGCTTTATATTTCTAATAGCCAAATTACTATGACACTGAGGTCAGCTACAACATATTACAGCAATGCAAAAGGAATTATTTTAAGGGATATACTTTATTTGGTATGACCTGCTTTTTTCCTAAGAGTTTAGGATGAGCTTAAGGCTCAATATTCATACCTTCAGAGTTTCTAAAATGCACAATGGCTAACAAACCTTTTTGAGTATCTTTACAACTGCTGCAAAGGTTATTTGAAACATCTACTTGTCATATTTTCATGTAGGAGGTGTACACTGTAGTTTATAGCTTATACAAGGCCTCTCATTTAAGGATTTTGAAAATGCGAATGTGTATCTTCCCCTTTTTTTCTGTCCTTTAATTCCAATCTGGGTTTCACTTCAATTCTATAGTTGACTTCTACTGGAGCTGTTAACAGCAACCCTCGCTGAATATATGTAGAATTAAATTTAAAACTTCATGTGGTTATTAGTGAGACATACCTGATACCAATATCTCACTTCAATAGTGTAAATAGAGTTGCATCAGTGTTGTAGAGGTGTGAGATCAGATTTTGTAGATGGAGTGGAGTTATCATACATATAGATTTAATCAACACACTCTTCATCTTTAAGGTTTTTGCAGGAGGTGTCCAGGAAGGGATCAATCTTATAACTGTGCACAAATACATGATGGGAGGGAGTAAAGAAGATGGAACCAGAGTCTTTGAAAGGACAAGAGGTATAGGACACAAACTGTAATACAGGAAAACTTATTTAAACGTTTAAAAAAATCTGTTTTTTTTTTTTAATTTGTTCCAAAGGTGGTCAGACACAGATTGCCCAGAGAAGTTGTGTAGTCTCCATCCTCAGAGATATTAAAAACTTGACTGGCCATTGTCCCAAGAAACCTGCTGTTGGTGACCCTGCCTTGAGCAGGGGGGTTGGACTAGACAATCTCCTGATGCACCTTCCCACTCTATCTATTCTGTGATTCTGTGAGTTTCAGCTATGCTAAAATACTGTACTTCTTATTTCCTTGACCCTGATCCTTACCTTTGTGGATTATTGATTGCCAGATTAAGAAAACATATCATTTAAATGTCACTTATCACATATCCCTGTTATCAGAATTGGCATTCAGCAACACCGCTTCTCAAGCTCAATTTTGTGGCACAATTTGGTATGGGCAGGGAGTTGGATGGGAGCGAAATCATTAGTGATTCATTTATACCATTTATATGACATGTTCTGAAAATGCTGTGAAAGATAGGCAGAGATTACATCAAATTGTTCTAATCTGCCTCAGGGCTGTTCTAACTAAGAATAAAGCTGGAAGCAGAAACAGATATCTGAAATAAATGATGATATAATCTATTGCTCTCTTTGCTGCAAGGTTATCCTATAAACATTCCTCAGAGATCCACAGTGTCTGTGTTTAAAAGCCACCAAGCATTTCTAATTTAAGGACTTGTTAAAGCTACTCCCTACTCCTGACATCATCCAAGAACGAGCCTTTAATCTTGTCAAAAGTTTATGACTAAATAAAAATTCTTCACTGAATTTTTTTAAGGATTTGATTGTGGTGAGGTACTTTTGTCCAGAGGGCTGCTAACAGTCAGCGAATTTGGCCTTTAGTTTGAAGACAAAAACCAACCTGTTATAAAACTTTTTTTGCTTATTCCCGTAACCAAAAAAAGCAACAAAAAAACCTATTAAAATAAATAGTGTTAAAATAATAACTGGAAAACTCTTTATGTCTTTTACAGTGTTTTGTTACACAAGAGGCTGAATTACATTTATACTAAATGGAGAAACCTTTAGGCATCTGAATTTTCCGAGCACTACCAGATCAGATTGATACCTGTAGCCTACATGATCAGCATCAATAAAGCAGCAAAGGCTATTTTATATATATGTGGTCATTTAAACATAAGGGGTACCAGGCCAAATATGATCTGAGAATCAAATTAAATGTGGAGAGCAGAACCAATACAGGATCCAGGTTTCTAATCAGCTTCTATTAAAATCAAAACAGACCCTTTATTTCTTTTGTATATATGTCTACCAATGCCAAATCCAGACCGGGAATAAGGGACACACAGCTCATGTATTCACAGGCCCCTAAATGAGATCAAACTGATCTCAGAAGTGATGCAGCAGCAGTCAGGTGACGTTTTTCACAAAACATGGGCTGTTGTGGTTGCCTGAAATTTCTGACATGCCAAAATGGAACAAAGTAAAGGGGTTCAATTTTTCAGTGCTCAGGGCTTTATCACAGATCCCTTTTAAGTGCTGAGCCCAAAACCAGACAGCCTTGGAAACTGTAGGCCAAGTTGGTTGCGTATCTACTAATGCTTTGCGTGTGCCTGAGGTCATTCTCCTGCACAAAGGTCAGCAGCCATGGGACAGCCCACACCCCTATCATAAACCTCTTACCCTCCACGACAGGGTGGCCACAAGCAAAATGCCCACCGGGAATGGCAGCTGGCCTCTGCCAACTCCTGGTTTTGCCCAGCAATGACCTCCGAGAATGACGCTTGGCCTGGGCCAAAACTAAGCAGAGACCAGGCTGACAATTTAGCAACCTGATGATTGGATTTCAGGGCCTGGAACATCCCTTGACACTATTTTTCCTAATACAGATGCAGCCTATATATCCTTTTTCAGATCAAAGCACATTAAAGCCTCATCATTTGATAGCAAGTAAGTTAAAAACATAGAATTAAAATCCTCTCTCCCTGCTTAGCACACACTTAACATAAGGGGGATGGGATTTGAGATGCAAATAAATTGTAGATTGCACAGAATCAGAACTGTGACTTGGACATTATATTTATAAAATTATAAAGAAGGTGGCATATGAATACTTATCTTGAAAATGGAAGAATATTAAGAAAAGAACTCATATGAAATATTTCACTCCAGATCTTCTCTGAAAACTACAACAATTGTCATCCTGGAGAACCCTAAAGACCTCCTAGATCTGTGCTTGCACATAAAGGGCAATTTCATCGGGCCCTTCAGTGCAGGGTTACCCCAGAGCACGACTGTCTCTTCTAAACAGTGTTTCTTTATCATTATGTGTTTGTACTGCTAGCTTAACATCCCTTTGCTTTACCATTTGGTGGATGATTTGAACTAACAGAAGGAAACAAGAAACATAACCCAGAAATGTGTGCTTTGCTCAATTACAGACAAAGATGTTAAACCATAATAATGTTCCCAACCAAGATAATGAAAAACAGTGAGATGTTCACATCTTAAAAAACCAGCTGCACATACAGGTGTCTGCACCAGATGCTTTCCTAAGCAGAATGTGATAAAAGTGATTATTCCTCACTCAACAGAGAACAATCCCTAAGCAGGATATTTAAAGGACGATGATAGAGCAGGTAATTAGGAGCCCCATGCCTTACACACAAAGCAATGTTTAAGAGGGTGAAGCTGAGAACCATCTGCCCTTTACACATGGGTCTATGTTTTCATTTGTGAATTCATCATAACGATGGGCAGTTTTCAGTCTGATTTCTCAGGTAAGATCCTACTCAGTAAGAAAATGATTAAGGATTAAGTGACTTATTCCTGGTTTTAACAGGTGGTAGCTTGCCCTGTGGCTCCAACAGGAACACAGGCACCAGAATCCAATACCTTATCAACGGACATTTCTGTGAGGAGTGAAGGAATAGTCTGGTCTTGCCCCAAAGTATGTATATAGTGTCTTTTCCTACCTTTGGACTTCCTGTCGTGGTAGCTCCTGCCTCGATAATGGTGGCCACTGTCTGTGTACAAATTCTCGAGATCTTCTTGCCAGGAGTCCGGGTTAAAGTGTTTGAGCAGATCCTCCACCGTGTCAAATGCAGCAATGGTCTGATCCAGTGCTTCCGCTGTGAGCGTAGGGTCAGTCACTGATGGAGAGGGATAGGATACCCCCTAAGAGTGACATACATCTCAGTGTACTTGGAATAAATTACAGCACCACTTAAAACAATTGAAAACAGTTACTGAGAAACTTGTCTCGTTATTGACTGAAACAGCTACTTTGGGCCATCTTTCGAAGTCCTTAGCTGGGTCAGGCTTTGCTATGCCTGTGTTTTCTTGTGCAAGGAGAAGAGACATCAAGGAACTCCCAAGCAAATCCCAGAGGAGATGCAGGGAGTGGAGGAACTGCCACCACTGGACTGTCAATATGCACACCTACTCCTCAAAGGGGACAATGGTTTGCACATATACAAAGATGTAATGGAAATGTCTTTTGAAACCACTGTGATGGCCATGACCACAGAATGGAGGTGCCTTGTGGTGCTGGGGTGGTGCCTTCAAGCTCCGCCAGCTCTGTTGGTAAATCCATAATAGGCATATCAGAAACCACAGCAGAGGAAGACAAAGGCAACAAGTCCACTAGATGATTGTCTTTCTTTCCCTGGTCAATTTGGACAACAAATTTGGCTTGGTTGAAGACTTGAAAAGATGGCCCTTTATTCCCAAGAATTAAATGTGCTATGAAATACCGATGAATGACAATTCTTCCACCCTTTTACCAAAAATACAAATTAGTAAGCAAACGAGAAAAACCATGATATTTGGATCTCAGCAATGTAACAATGAATACTGGGATTACCAACATAATGATATCCTCACAATTATATCATAATACCAAATGGAATATTATTTCCAACCAGGAAGGGCCAAGTACCATTCTCTACGTGTACTTGGTTCCCACTGAACTTGTGGCACAACTTGACTTTGACAGAAAGATTGCAGCAATTTCACTTTTACTGGAGAGGACTTAAAACATTTTTAATAATCGTTATTTAGAATCACACAATTCACCACCCTGATATCACTTTTTCCCCTTTCCAACCACAAAGCCTCATAGTATGTGTAAAATATGTGCAAGAAAAACTATTAATGCAGATCTGTTACTTTCTGAAGAACCACAATTAAAATAACTGATTTTGTCCAACAAGAAGCATAATGTAGCACAAGAGTTCTGTTTGGATTTTGGTCTTAAAAGTTAAAACATTGGGGGAAAACCCCTGGAAACCTCTTCTCTCATGAAAACCTAGCTCTGCAGTAATGTAGCAGAAATATGCCATTTAAAATTAATGGCTCCCCAAAATGATTTTTTGCCTCATCTCCCAAGCAAATGCATATGTTAAACTATTAATCTTTGTGATTAACTTCACTCAGTTGGGTAGTAAGGGAAAGACCAACTCATTTGAGTAAAAAGTTACTCACTTGTTTGCAGGATTGTGTCCTTCAATGCTTACTAAAATAGTTTTAAAGTCTTTTAAAATGTCTTTTAAAATAAAAATTTTCTCTTTCACTGTAAGTTATATCACAAAATTAACAATCCTTTATATTTTACTGCATATGTTTGCTGAAAGTACGGACAGTCCAAATTATTGAAAACAAGAAAGAGAAGAAATAGAAAAGATCACAATAGTGTGTCAAGAAAGCATAGCTGTGCTTTACTGCTTATCGCCAACAGCACAAGAAGTTTCAGAGGGCCCACTTGTGACTGCAACGCCTCTACAATGCGGTGCTAAACAAGACACAGTGCAGATGGCTGTAAAAATTAATGAGCCACTAAAAGGGAAAGCATACCTCAAAGCATCTCTCCTGACTTCTAAATGGCTTGGAATAGAGACCGTCAGAGAGACAGGAGCCCCAGGAGATGAAAAGCTCGCACCAGCAAAGTGAACACAGCGTTGTTACCTAAAACAATGCTGCAGGAAAGACTGTGCTGTAGGTGGGTATCATGCAGTGTGCTAACGCAGTTATTGAGGTTACAAAAGAAAAATGCACCCAAACGCTACTTGCTTATTGAGGAGAGCTCAGTGGAGCTCATGGCTCATCTGTGACTGCAGCTCAAACGTCAGTCCCCAACTACCTTTCAAAAGTGAGGGAGATGGTGCAAGGATGCTGAAGAAACAGCAGCATAAAAACCAGGCCATAGGTGTGTGGCTTAGGCGATGCGACAATTTTTTTCACGTATTCAACTGTGCATTTCATTACAGAACTGCAGGTCAGGCTGTGAATTTGCAGGGCATTTCAAACTCATACCGGCAGCAAGGATTCCCCATTTTCTTTTCATATAAAAACTCCTACTCAAGAGATTTTTGCAACCTCGTTCACACACAGAAGAAAGCTTAACTTTTTCTCAGTGATGGCCAAGTCAAGAGGAATTATTTCAACAGCTCAGATAGCCTACTGGCAGCGACATCATGTGACAGGCCCAAAAGCAACTTCAAAGCTGCCAACCCAACTGCCTCTCTGTTGTCCTGCCAAGAACGAGGCGCTAGCTTTAGAAGAGCTTGTGCTCATTGTGCTCTGCCTTCTGAGATCACGTCCAAAGAGAGGGCCAAAGGAAGAATGAAATGCAAGAAGCAGTGAAGAGCAAAGATTTTCCACATTATGCACCTCTTCTACGTTTCTTAAAAGCACTGAACGCATTTTTAATTTCATGGGACACAAAGGTATCTTTTTTGTCAATGCTTTTACCCTTAATTTCTATTCCCCCATTCTTTTATATTTTCTATCTGCATTGTGAAGCTGACAGGAAGTTCAATGTGCATCAGTTGTTTGTTGGTCATAACATTACTTCACAAATAATGGAACTTTGTTTCCTTTTTTTTCTGGGTTTGCGATGCTGGTTTAAAGGCAGAAGTATTGGTTTTAGCTTTCTGAGAAAAAAAAACAAAACCCAAACCAGAAATACTGTCTGTGATGTGACATCAGACAAGGAAGAATAAATTTGTTCACCCTCAAATTTTAATTCTGAGAGTTGCAATGTACCCAGATCCTAAAATGAGTCTTTGAGTTGCCCGTGGCTTTGAGGGGCAAAACTTAGATCTGCCATACTGAGTATCAGCAGAACAGTAAGTCATTTTGTCGGCAACTGACAAGTCTGAGTTTGTCCTTCTGCCCCTCAGGACCACAGCAGAATCCCTGAATCTTTCTCTCCTGAAGAATTTCGATGTCCTCAGAATTTTTCCTTGGTGCCTTTGGGAAAAATTATTCAACCTCTCTACCTTATTTTCCCTGAGGATAAGAAAGGGCTAGTGGGTGCGATGCATGGCCAGTGGAAGAAGGTATGTTTTATTAGACAGGGGGTGGCACGGAAAAAACAATGAAACTGGGGTTCTGCTTCTGGTTTAGCTGTAGGTTTCCATGTGACCTTGGGCATCAGCTTGCTACCTGTAATATTTGTACTGAACTCCCCTACCTGTAACACATTAACAACAACTTTTCACAAACAAATAGATGTGAAAGATAAATAAACTTTTTTTTTCAATATGAAAAGAATACTGGATTATTGTTTGGCGTATTGTGTGCCTTACAATGTTAAGGAGGATAACTAACATGGCGTTTACCATATACTTGATCTCATTTTCATAGTTACCTGATGAGGGAGCCCTAGGCTTACATTTTCAAACATCAGCCTACCATATTTTTAAACAAAATATTCTATCACATAGATTTTTTTTCCAATCCCATATTAGAATGGAAAATGAGTTTATGTCTTTCAGTAAAACAGTGCTTTAGCATCTCCTGCTTGGCATATCCAGTAGATCTCAGCCCTGCTAACATTACTACTCAGGACTTTCAGCACAATTAGTTCTAGGCTATCAATGCATTGTATCATGAAGTGCAAGTGTCATTTGCAAACTCAAGGGTAAACATGAGTGAGATTGGCTTAACCTCTTCTAATTTTGGCTATACAGAACTTTCTCTCTACTCGCTGCCTGGCTTGGACAATAATCAGTAGAATTTACTCATATTTTATTTACTGCTCCTGCACTGGCAACTCCTGGCTGCTACTGTAACAAAGGTGCCACCACTAAACCCTCTTCCATGAATGCTCCAAACATTGGTCTCAAGCCTGCTTTGTCTCATGTGTTTTAAGAGGAGTTTGTAAGAGATGTGACATAGTGCTGACCAGCCAGCAGAGCACACAGGAGAGGTCTGTCCATATTATGAATTCTGATGCTACATTGCCATTCCCCAGAATTTAATCTTACTGGGGAAATGAAAGAGGGGACAGATTTTTGGCCAATGACACAAATCAAATGTAATGAAGAGAAAAATAAAATTTTATATTGGATTACTTGTTTTCTTTCTTTCTTTTTCTTTTTTTTTTTTTCCCAAGTCTCATTTTACTGCTGAATATGGAGACTTCAGATATAATATTTTATTACAAACACATTAAAAAATCTCAGTATTGACAATGAAAAGCTAGATCCATTTTCCTGCCAGCCTGTTTTAAGTATAGTCTTGTATTTAGGTCAAGACATTTTACAACTGAAAATTGTAAGGAGCTTATCTTGTACTTTCATCTTGGCAAGATGAGTTTGAAAGCAAGAAATGTTTCCCAACGGCTATCTCATGTGGTTACAACAGCTGATGGCATATCCTGAATCTTTTCTCCTTAAAAACACACTAGCTGACTCTAGTATGAGATGGATAAACACTTATTTCATCCTCTGCCAAAGGTGAATACATGGTTCCTCTGTGCAGGTGCCATTTTAGTGAGTTCGATTCACGTCATCCTATCAATCCATCCATGGGCAAAATAGTAAGAAATTACTTACTGAGACAGAGCTTGTGACTGACTCCCAGTTGGTTTCTGAGGCTGCATGCTGGAAAACATCCTAAGGGGAAAAACCCACAGGAAAAATCACCATTAAGGCAATGTCCTAAATTTATTGCAGAACCTAAAAAATGTCTCAGTATTCAGCATCTGTCACCTTTTTCAACCCTCTTTAATGCAAGAGGCCCTTTCCATGTGTCATTCCTAAATAACGCTACTTGCATTCAGGTTCCTCCCTTTTCATTGTTTACAAATTAGCTCCTTGTAAGCTTGCTGGGGCAAAGATAGGTATTATTATTATTTGTAACATGATATATGCTGCTTTGCATAGCAGGACCTGATCTGGTCAAGGCCATTACATTTATCTTCCAACAAAACATTAAACACCACCCCTGTATGTCTACAGTCAGAGTATTAATGGTGTTCCCCAAACTGATCCATTCTGGAAGAAATGTGGACATGCTAATATGCTGGTACTGCTTAGCCAAGGTGAAAAGCAGGGTAATCTAATCCATTTGAAATGTAGTCCTAACATGACTGTGCTGTTTTTCGTGCTTGTGCCGAACAAGACTTGCTCATCTGTGCAGAGCACTGAATGGCACTATGTCCTTTACATCAAAAAACACAGCCACAGTACGTTCACATTAGAAGTGTCATCGCACAAAACCCCTGGGCATTTATGATTAATTTGAGCACAGGGATGGGATTCATCTCATCTACCTTTGGACATCTACAAAGCAAACATCTAATCTAGTCGCTCTTGTTTCCATTTACAGTCAACTTAAACTAGCATTTTTAGGGTGCAAATAATCTGATCTATTTTAGAAGCTTAATTTGGGATGACATTGCATCCCAAAAATGCTTTTTTCTCTCCATTGTCTATAAAGGGAGCCTGGGAGGACTAACTTAGATACAGATGTTAAAATTGTATATATTGACGTGGTCACCTGAATCCCAATCCACTTGTCTAATGAGTGATGGGCAATCATTACTTAAATAATGAAGAAGCCATTTCTTTAATCTTTTGGCAGTTTTACTAATTTCCAACTGGAATAATTAAACCATGAAAAATGGAAAAAAAGGCAGCATTACAGAATGGTTATTAAACACATGCAGTGAATAGCTAATGATCGGCATGAATAGGCAGGTAAGGAAAGTGGACTAAAGTGAGAGTATACCAAGATTTTCACTTCTAATAACAGAATTTATAATGAAAGGATTTAAAGAAGATGGATCAATGCCTGGGCTCACCATTTTACACTTACTCAGTATCTGCTACGCATTTTTTAAGTTGGCAACTGAAAGGGAAAATAGAAGGGTAGCTGCTCAGCTGATGCTCTTTAGACTCAATGCTGCATTGGACCATACATATATGCATATATTCAATTATTTCTTAGGAATGCAAAAGAGAAAACTGATCACATAATCTGCTAATTCATCAGTAAAATTCTCCTTTAGTCAAGAACGAACAGAGCTGCTTTCAGATCCAGACTTGATATATGTGGTATTTTAATGTTTTTCATTTGCTATAGAAAAATATTCAAATGTCCCAAAAGTCACAGGATTGTTTATTCAATAGTTACTGTTTCTTCTTCCTTAAAATGTTGCTTTCTCTCAAATTTGAGGCAGCAAAACTGTAGTGATTTCTTCAGTAGAAAGAAACTGTAGTAGAAGTTAAGAAACCCCATCACACTATAGTGTCACTAAGCGACCACTGAAACTGCAGGGCTATTAAAACGTTAATAATTAAAGTGCTCATTTTCTTCTACAAATACAGAAGCAAAACATTATCGGTGAAATTTTTAATGCAGATTTTTTTTATAAACAGTAAAGAGATCTGCAAATACTATGATGAGGTCACAAATAATTCAGGAGCAGTGGGCTACCTTGGCCACATTCTCTACACATTTGGTTGCCCAGTTCTTGACAAGCCACAATTTAAAATACATAAAAATGGATTTGAAAAGCTCATGAATCCTCTGGTAACAGTTGCCAGTTGCAAAACTTGGAAATCATTTCCTCTCTGTCATTAGCTTCCATTTAGCACTTCCAGAAAAAGTGGCATTGAGTTCTGAGGCATTATTTTAAAACAGGAACAATCTGCCTCATTGAATGTCTGGAGAAGACTGTAGACAAGGAATAATTTTGTGTTTGAAGTGGTGGTCCCCTTGTGTTATCCAATTGTAGACATCAAAACTGTTTCTTTAGTCCATGATTCTTTGAGATGGTAGATGCCAGGGAAGCCCTCCAAAACCCTGAGATAGACGTGTACCACCTGCTTCTTGGATCTCAAACCTGATGACTGCACATTTTGACACTGTGATTATATTTCATCTGCAGAAACTATTCAGAACTATATGGCTTTGTTCCACCATCACTCAAGGCAGCTGCAGTCATTCTTGGCTTCTCAGAGCTTTCAACCTCTACAGTTTGAAGATTATTATTATCTATGGCTTCTGCTTGTAGCTATTTCAAGTAATAATATCAAAGTGATTCTCATCATTACAAAACCCTCTCCTCCTTTCTCACCATTGTCCCTAGCAGAACCTGAAGGACAAATCTATTTTCAGTGCTGTCTATTCAATTCATACTACCTTGTTTATATGAATTTGCATATGATCACTTGGCTACTGTTTTCTCCATTACTTAAAATGACATTAAAACTTTCAGTTAAAACATAAAAAAAGATTACATCTTTTTTAACTGAATACTGGAACAACAGGGTGGTAATAATTTGACTACATCACCCTGACAACAGTGCTTTTATTTTTGTATGTGTGTCATGGTAACATAAAAAACATTACATAAGACTTCAGCAAAGCATTGCATTAACTGTTCTCCAAGCAGCAAAAATACAGGCAAAGCAACAAGGCTACCAACCACCTTCTGATAGCAGCTGCTTTTATTGAAGAAAAATGACACCCATACCTCAACTTCCAAAACTACACCTCAGCACGACAAATCCTGAGTCAGTCCTTAGAGTTAAATATGTATGGACATTGATATATTGTTCTTGGCTCTGTTTCAGACAAAGATAAGCTACTCTCTCCTTCGCAGACTGCCTTGCCTACAGCCTGTCTCCCACCACTGATCTCCAGTAAGTGACAAGGAGTCATGGGGAATACTCTTTGTTTCATCTAGGGCTTTCACAAGTGGAGATCATGAGGCAAAATCACTGCTATCAAGGATATATGAGATTGCAGAGCCAGATAGCACTGGTTGCTGAGGAAGATGGTTTGCAGGCTGGGGGTCCGTGACCTGCAGCAGCACAGGCTCTGCCAGGCTTAAGCCATGGGGTTTGGCAGGGTCATGGGGAGGCATCAAGAAGACACCAGGGATGAGGCCAGGAAGCTCGCCAGTTTGAGAAGCATGTTGTCCATGACTCACTTCGCTGTACCACAAACATGGCAAAACATGTGAGTCCTCCCAGCCATGCTGAATTACTGCCTGGTCCTCAAGTTAAAAGCAAGAAGCACTTTCTAACATTGCTGTGATTCTTCAATTTTTACATACTTTATCACTGTAGTCTGGTCTTTTGTCATCTTGGTGCTTGACATCTACATGCATAATGCCTGGGATAGGCAATAACCACCACAAGACAGGGACAACACACCGGCAGCTCCCTCCAGTGAAAAAAAGCAGCCCCATATCTCTATAGGCTCCTCTCTGACCTCTTTGTCCTAATCTGCAGGTCCCTGGGTGTTGTGGTTTAACCCCAGCTGACAACTAAGCCCCACACAGCCGCTTGCTCGCTCCCCCCTGGTGGGACGGGGGGGG